AATAATGAAATCAATAAAACAAACATATCGCGGACTCGCTATTTCTTTCATTCTGGTACGTCGGTCTTTAACTTCTATTTTCTTAGTTCTGGGATGCTCACAGGCACGCACTAAGAAAGGTCTCTCTCTCTCATATATTTGCGTGAAATCGCAACCGCGCGTGAAAATCTTGTTTCCTTGTCGTTGTTTTTTGTTGTTGTTAGGAGACTTACATTATTGCCCTACACGTTTTAAAGCACATATGCGCGTCTATATTTCCTAGAAAACAGACAGTACACAAAGTGCGAGTCCACTGATTGGCGAGGTGAAAGATGTGGTGGGGCTAAAAAACGTGATCGGTGCCGGGGCCATAAGCGAGCGTGATGTCATGTTGTGTTTCGAGCCAAACATTTTTCTTTCTTTTTTCGGGCCTGGTCATTTGCTAGAAGTACTCAGTAAATCCTATTGATCGGCCCGGACTTTTCTTTCTGACCGGAATTTGACTCGCAGGCATTTTCTAAGGTACACGGGAAGTTTTCTTATTAGCTCTCTCTTCGTCGACCAACGCCGGCCGGAGCTTTCCGCTAATTACGTGACTTTAACGTTTTGTTTTATCTCAGCCTATTTTTATATTAAAAAATTGGTCAACTCTGGAGCACAGAACGTACCAGACTGATGCCAACGTCTAACATGGAGTGGGTTGATGTACTATAGCGAGGTGGTAGCTACACGATCACCGGACCTATCAACCGCCTATCTTTCACCACCTGACCCAACTTTCTGCGGGTGCGATTGGACGAGAGCGTGATCACATGGTAAAAAAAATGGCGTATAATTGGTCCAACGAGCACGTAGCCTCCCGCACTGTCAGCTTAGGCGTGAATAAAGTGCAACGTTGACAGACTGAGGTGTAATGCTGATGCTAAAGTTGCAGACCCAAACAAACATTCCGAGGACTATTGTAATAAAAAAGGATGCGTTGTGAAGTGCGACTTAAGGGTCGCGTGAAGGCTGGCTCAAACATGCAACTCACGATTTTTCACAGCTCGTGGAATCCGTTGAGGGGAAACCGTAACACTAGTGAGTGTGGCTAGCCGTGGAAACTGTGTCCACTATTGTGTGTTAAGGCCCGTTCACACACTTGCGTTCGGAGCGACCACTATGCTTACGAACGAATGCAGCCGCTGCGACTTCAACAACTGTGCGCGACGTGTACACACACTTGCAACCTCATGCAACCATACGAAGCAACAGCCAACGAGAAACGAGCTTCAGCTCTTGCTCCTAGCCAATAGCAAGCAACCCAGCTACGCTTACAAACATGGCGGACGGTTTCCTGCCCGACGCGAGGTCCTTAGACTCCTCACCGGAGCAGCCGGAGGTTTCGGCTACGGCGAACAGTCACGAAGATCTGCTGTGTGCCTATAATAGCTGTGTAAAGGCTCGCTCTGACATCTGCAACGAACCCGTTATCCACGACTGCGTCCGTTGTGACCAGAGCGACCGGAACGACCGCTCTGCGCCGCGCGTACACTCCTGCAACCACTACCACAAGCGCAGCGGGTCGGCAGCACGGCGACCGCCTCTCCGCCGCCGTCAGCTGTTTCAGCGGTGCTTCAAGGGGACGCGCTGCCACTCACTTGCGTAACAGAAAATTGACAGACCGTCTTCTATGATCTAAACTTTATTTCATGACTTTTTTTACAGGATACGCTTGAAGGGTAGCGCATTAAAAAAGGAAACGATGCAGTACGCCGTCTTGCACGATCACGACTTTAATACACGACTTTGCCAACAGTACAAATCTCGCCACACGCCTTTTCTACGATCATAAAAGACGATGTAATTTTAGCAGCGATATAGCGACGCAGAAATATAATTTCGTGATCAGATAGACGTTGCGAGCGTTCAGGATTGCTAACACTAATCACCTTTCTCGGGTGATGATAACGCGTGAAAACTCGTATCCTTTATACGGTACGCACCAGTGATACCTTGAACTTGAGCACACGCATGGAATGCGCCAAAAAAGAAATCCGGGCGATGTTCGAGGACACAAATGATAAGAAGGCACCACTGTAGTCGAAGTAAACAAACACGACGGCACGGGCGTTTCTGCTGTCTTGAGAGTGCCGCCCCGAGATCGCCGCACGAGTAGGTGGATCTTCCCTTCTAGTACGTGCTGGGTTATTATAACGACACGCGACGAAAAATCACAGTCAAGGATAGAGCTTTTACGGGGAACGATGAGCGTCCACCACGCCGTCCATGTCGACGATCACCACCGGCGCCATGTTTGCAAATAGAAGAAGCCTGGCACGACCAGCATGCAACGCGCGCGACCGAGCTCTCCTCGACCTGTGATTGGTCTGTCGCTCCCGTCGTTCCCGAACGTAACGAAAAAGTTCAGCCCGGCTCAACTCTTTGCGTTGCGAACGAACACGAACGAAACGACCGTTTGGCGCTTCGTTGCTATGGTAACTCGTCATTCCAACCGGTTGCATTCGTTCATAAGCGTAGTGGTCGCTCCGAACGCAACTGTGTGAACGGGCCTCCTTTACTACTAGTGTGAGGAGCAAACGCGCAGTTACTTAAAATGCGACCAACCAACCACTCGCCAAGAGGACTGGCATTTGTGTAACCCTGCAATCCCGAGTGGTATGTTGCTAAGTGATAAAATCAAGGGGACTATTTCGAGCTTAGTTCCCAATGGCCGTGCGGGGTGGATTGCTACAGCATCTTGTAATCGCTGGATTTGTAGCTTTTGCGAGAAAAACAAAACAAAGCAATGCACGTATTTGAATAGGCATTTCAAGTTTGTAGTTAAAGGTGGTACACAAATCCAGCGCTCAAGGATCTTCGATATTCTGGCTTGTAGCCTACGCGGAGGACAGTAATGGTGCGGTGTAACATTAACTGACGCATTGATACTGCGCTCCACACAAGGCACACCAAGAGGAATATTTTAGTTTTATAATACACGGTGCGTAATCATAATATCGAACGTATAAAAAAATACCATACTCACATGTCTGCGACGTGTTCACTGTGAAGGCGTTTGAATAAAAAGAAAAAGATTGAAATGACCTTTTGAAATACAGCATGTATTTATGCTGGTATCACCTGAATATCGAAAATTTGAGGAAAGGGGTCTACGTGTCATAAAGTTTGATTCAAATTATGGTTGGAATTTACATTGTCAAAATATTTTAGGCTAGAAACCACAAAATGAAACTGCTTAGGGTATATGAAAGTGCAACTAAAGATTGCTTTATTTTGCACTATTGTACTCGCCGCATTGATGTCTGAGAGAAATATGACGACACACCTCGAGATCGCAAATGCTGAAGAGAACGCAACGTGTGTACTTGGAGCTTATGAAACAAACTTCGTTATCAAAACGCATATTGTTACAAAACCCAGTATAGAGAAAATCGAGCACTTTTCAAGAATATGTCGGCTCGAGTTATGCAGACATTTTCTCGAACCCCACACGAATCAACAGACGGAGTCCTCTTCATGTGGTTAGAAATACCACTTTTTGATTTATATAAAAAGAAGCTCGACAGTGGGTTTTTTAAACCTTCTTGGAGGTTTGTGTTTTGTGTACGTCTCTTCTATATACTCACGTTCAAAACATCCAAAATATTGTTTCGTTGCCTTTTCATATACTGGAAGCTGCCTCACTTCAATAAATAAATAAACAAATATATATGTTTTACTGATTTGGATATTCTAGGTTATGGAAACTCCGACTATAATTTAAAATCACCCTGCACATTGGCATGAAATATGCATTATTGCTTGTTCTACAGCCCAATAAATGTGCCCTATACTTTACATGCAGATATTTATCAATCACCTTTTCCGAGCGCCGAGAAAGTCAATCTTCACTATAAAAAATATATTGCGCGCCTGTTTTTTTTTCCTTGCAGAACAGTAGGAAAACGTATCACTACAATCTAGGCAAGAGAAGAAACTTAATAAACAACGAGGGAAAAAAAAAAGAAAGAAATACGAAAAAACATCAATTAATGAAAAATTATTCGTCACACAAAGCATTCTGCAAAATATGTTTAGCATTGAAGGGGAAGGCGATAATTTTTCGTTGAAGCATTTTTTCATGCTCTTCATTCTTCGAACTTGCTTTATAAATCGCAGTATTTGGCTGAACGACTGTTGTGCGAAAAAGCAGCAGCTTGAATATTTTTAGAGCGTTCAGCTTTTACCGAATCATAATTGCACCTGGATCACTACCGCTCGCCCCCAGAATCTCCGGGTGATAATCTAGAAAACTATACCTTGATCTTTTTTATAGTGTTTATACAAAAAACGGCTCATTGGTCAAAGGAACATAGAAGAAAAACAAATGTCACTGGAAAATGACTTGGTGCTACTTACAAGACTCAGCACTGCGCGGGTGTCACGCCCCAATATCGGAAGCAATAGAACACGAACACTTCGTCGTCAGAAAAAGCAACTTACGACAGGTAACTCAACGTCCGGGACGTTGCGTATGGTATCCCAGTGCAGACCTAATTTCTCGAGTGAAAAGTTTATATGAACTTCGAACTTAACTATACATCTTCCCTAGTTAATCGCGGGGAAGTATAAGACGTAGATTTATTTCGATAGCAAATTTTGACACATGAAAACCATTATAGAGCAGAACACATTTCGTAACAGGTTTTGAGTTTCGCGATTGGATAATTTTTGTCCTCATCCGTCACTGATATTTTGATTGTGGAAGGAGGTTCAGGAACGACTTCTTGGTATTTCTCTTTGAATGTCAGTAGTACGTTAAGACAGCCCGATACAAGCAAATCACGCTAATTTTATACTGGGAACATTTGGTATGTCCCTTTACATAAAAAAAAGAAAAAAAAAAAGAAAAACGTGTACGTTTTGGATCTTGACACTGACGACCTCGACAAGGTCTAAAGCACACCGGAGGTCGTTTTCGTAGCGTTTGGCTGGTCCACGGACCCACGTGAAAACGCGCAGGCGAAGGTTGAACTCACTGTGCACATGGACGGTGTAGTGGACGGAGTCTCTGCCATAGACGTTGTGGGCGTGGCAGCTGTAGTTGGCCGAATCCGGCTGCTCGGCGCTCTCGATGCGCAGCGTGCCCGAAGGCAGCACCCGCACCCGGTCCGTCTCTTCTAGGGCGCCGCCACTGCACGGGCCGGAGGAAGGGTATGCAGGAGACACACCCTTATTCTCACAAAAGGTTATGGGTTACATTAAGTGAATTTAAACAGGGAAGGAGAAAACTGATATTTCGAATTCCCCCCCCTCCCCTTCCCCAGAGGAAACTTGCGCGTTTATTATTATTATTATTTATTTGAAATACTGTGGACCCGTCGGTCTACAGAGGAGGGGAAAAACACAATACCCAGAAAACAAGAAACTCATTCATGCACATACCGCGTGTATCGAGCGCCGGTAGGTTGTAGCTACCCACGCACGCTCAAGATATACATTTCCACATGCAAAACTCAACTAAACAATACATTCAGCTGTGCTTCAAAAATTTCAGGACTACAACAATGGACTTCTTCCAAAACCGACGCGCCCCACCGCGGCGAAATACCACGCAGTGCACTCTGAGAACTAGTTGGCCACTCAGTTTCGGTTTCGACTGAGCAGCTTCATCTCATGCTATCACGCCGCGACCGAACGCGCTGCTTGCGTTTTCGATTATCTTACTTTTTACGAACCTACAATACGCTCATTCTCGAGCCATACAAAACGAAGACCGGGGCACTTTCCTTGGTTCCCGAAACACCGGATATTGTGCGTGCGTATGCAAACGTAGTAAGTCGTGGCTTAGTCACCTCACCCCACGAGTGCATGTTTGAGCTCAATTTCAATAATCTTGTCTAGTACCAGTGAACTAGAACTGAAATTTGTTCATCTGGAGCCTTACACGTATTTTGTTTGCCAAACGTCCGCTTCTTGTTACTTCATTGGGCGAAAAGCAAGCCGCATCCTCACAGGGTATCAAAGTTGAGCCCAGCGTTTACGCATGAACTTTTAAGGAAACGCAATAAATTCGACCTCACCACTGCACAAAAGTTACTATGATGTCTTCCTTGTGTCATCATATATCTCCCACTCAAATTATATGCAGATAGAAGATTAACTTTTCGCAAACGCTGAGATCGGCTAGCTACGACGGAGGCCCTAACAAGCGTCCCCTACTCCTCGCTAAGCCTTTTTGGACGAGCTTTTACTGACGCCCAAGATCTGTGCCTGAACGGTGTGTCTGAAATTATCTCGGCATACTCAGGCAGGAAGAAAGCAAACACATAACAAATATTATGGCTATTAGCAACCGTCAAACGCGCTTTAAATTCGTTCGTTTGGCGCACCACATAGGGTTTAATGCCCGTCCGGCGCACTTCCGGCGAACGGTGCGACATTCTTCACACAAGTGCTCGACTTTTGCTTTCTTAAAATGGTCTGTATGTGCGAATTTGCCTATATGATTGGCAGGATAACTTTATGCGCATACGCGATGTTGAATATTAGTGGAATGCAAGCGGGTGGGGACTTCACTTCGTGCAGTGCTGCGGGTCAGTACAGATAAGAGATAAGAAGTGTGTTAAAATTGAGCTTTTCAATGGCGCCTCCGAGTTTTACCTCATGGATGAAGAAAGAATAAAACAATTAAAACAGGGACAACACAACCACATCTTTCAACTAGCAACAGACGAGTAAACTTTCAAACAGCGAGCAGCCGACTATACCCAGTAGGAGTAGGGGAGAGAAGGGGGAGAGAAGGAAAGAAAAGAAACGCAAAGTGCAAGTCAGGGTGGAAGGGTTATCTCGGATTTTAAAAATTCAACCTCAGTTTTCGTCAGCAGGAGGGAAGGGTTAGACACGTTGTTTTTTGCTGTGGTCATCGCGAATGATTCTATGATTTCCCTGCCGAATCTGCTGTCATGCCCCCCCCCCCCCCCCCACGATTTTTGTGCCATCAAAGAGGGGATGACAACGCAAACACGAACGGGCATGTATGACTATGGGATGATAAGAATCTGGAGAGGCCTTAGAAACTTCGTTGTGATGTTCGCGGAGTCTGTGATTGGTGCATCTGCCGGTCTGTCCTATGTATTGATGGCCGCAGCTCAAGGGGATGGAGTAAACTTTCTTCTCTTTGCATGGAATGAATTTCTTTTCGTGTTTAACAGTGCAGCCAATCGGAATCCGGTTGTTGTTCACTTGTTGACAGAGTTGTTTAAGACGCATGCACAATTCGGCCCACCGGATAAAATCCATTGTCTCAAAGTTCGACACGAATGTTGTCTTCTCGTGCCGCCATGCGTCTTAAACAACTCTGTCAACAAGTGAACAACAACCGGATTCCGATTGGCTGCACTGTTAAACACGAAAAGAAATTCATTCCATGCAAAGAGAAGAAAGTTTACTCCATCCCCTTGAGCTGCGGCCATCAATACATAGGACAGACCGGCAGATGCACCAATCACAGACTCCGCGAACATCACAACGAAGTTTCTAAGGCCTCTCCAAATTCTTATCATCCCATAGTCATACATGCCCGTTCGTGTTTGCGTTGTTATCCGCTCTTTGATGGCACAAAAATCCTGGGGGGCATGACAGCAGATTCGGCAGGGAAATCATAGAATCATTTGCGATGACCACAGCAAAAAACAACGTGTCTAACCCTTCCCTCCTGCTGACGAAAACTGAGGTTGAATTTTTAAAATCCGAGATAACCCTTCCACCCTGACTTGCACTTTGCGTTTCTTTTCTTTCCTTCTCTCCCCCTTCTCTCCCCTACTCCTACTGGGTATAGTCGGCTGCTCGCTGTTTGAAAGTTTACTCGTCTGTTGCTAGTTGAAAGATGTGGTTGTGTTATCCCTGTTTTAATTGTTTTATTCTTTCTTCATCCATGGCTTAAACCAACACGCTCTTCTCCCAAGCATACGAGTTTTACCTCGCATACTCAGGCATATTAAGAAAAACAGTAATCGCAAAAAGTAATATTTCGTCTATGGGCGCACAAAACAAACAAACTTCCTGTTCAACAACACTAATGTAAAGGCGCGAGCTCAATGTACGCATACTTATTGGTTGCTACAGCTTATAGATTCGTTCACAAGCAAGATCCCCGAGCTTCGCAGCGTCGAGACTCCCAGCACTGGCTCGTCCACATACCTCGATTGGAACGCTAACAGGAAGGCTCAAGTACAAAATTACAACAAGCATGTGTTAAGACAAGCTATACGTCTCAGGCTTGCGCTAAACCTTCGAGGTCTGGCCATTTAGGTTAGTCTAGAGATCACAAATGCCGCTCTCGGGACCAGAAAACATGTAATAACGGCCGTTAATAGTCCACGCTCTGACTATAATCTCTTGTCGACGTGTCGATCGAAACCGAAACCATGCCACCCTCCTCCCTGGCCAACTAGTTCCCAGAGTGCAACGCGCGCCGTGTTGCATGCAGGGCTTTATGGAAGTAGTCTATTGACAACTTGCTCTGGCAGAGTTTTCCACTCAATAATAGTTCGGGAAGAGCAAGAGTATTGAAAGTCATAATTTCTGGAATAGTAGGGTGAAATTTCTTTATTATTGCTCGTTCCTTTGGGGCGTCCTGTTAAAGGTAAAAGTTCAGGATTAATCTTTGTCAAGCCATTAGCCACAGCGTATAATTATTTTAACCTACATACTTTCCCTCTTTCCTCTAAACAGTAAAGCCGGAACTCATTTCTAATTGCCGTAACTGACTCGTTGCGCCTGTACTGAAAAAAAAGAAAAAAAAAAAAACATTGATGTGCCAGATTTTCTATTTGTTCAATTTGCGCAACGTGCTGCTTCCTGTATGCGTCACATACGCACCCCCCCCCCCCCCCTCCTTTTAGCGACGCCACTGTGGGGTACATCAGTGAGTGCTACTTGAGGATCATAAAGGCCGGTTCACACATGCGGCGGAGCGCTAAGTTAGCGCTACGTGAGCGCTCCAATGAGCGCTCATGTGGCGCTTCCTAGCGCGTGATGTAGCGCTCTGTTAGCGCTTCAGAAGTGCTCTGTTAGCGCTCTGTTAGCGCTACAGAAGCGCTTTGTTAGCGCTCTGTTAGCGCTACAGAAGCGCTCTGTTAGCGCTCTCATGCACGCTCCTTGTGCCGTACTTGATGCTGCGGAACAGCGCGTGCACGGCGATTCCTTTGTTGTTGTTTTTCCTTTGGCATTGAACGAATAGGAAGTAAAACAGCCGCTCTCCAAGCAAAGGGTAGGGCAGGCGACCCAGAGTCATGGACTTTGAGCGACTAATTGATTGGGTACGACCTCATCGCTTTCTATTCGATATGCGTGATCCTGGTTTCAAAGACACGCAGCTAAAAATAACCGCTTTCGAAAGAGCTCTGTGTCTCGGTCCCTCGGCCTAGGAACAAGGTTCACTAGGTACCTGTCGGTATCTCGGTGGCGAAATATGTCGCGCACCTAGAAGGCTCTTTCCGGGCGTTAAGCTGTCCACACACATATGCACTAATCGCGTATGTAAGAGCATTGGTCGCATTTCTATTTCAGCAACCCACATGTCCGCCATGGTGCTGCTGATTCACACCCAAGCACAGGAACCGGAACCGCAGTGCACGCGCTAATCCGCAGCACCGCGGTACAAGAAGCGCTACTGAAGCGCTAACACGGCGCTACTGAAGCGCTAACAAGGCGCTACTGGAGCGCTAACAGGGCGCTACTGGAGCGCTAACAAGGCGCTACTGGAGCGCCAACAAAGCGCTACAGAAGCGCTAATCGCGCGCTGTGTTAGAACTAAGTCACGCTCCAGGAAGCGCCACATGAGCGCTCCTTGGAGCGCTCACGTAGCGCTAACTTAGCGCTCCGCTGTATGTGTGAACAGGCCTTAATTGTATCGTAAAAACACCATTTTTGTGATTGAAACAGCTATATACTAAAAAAAGAAATAACTTCGGGTTCACTTTCTACGTATCTTTCAAGAAATAGTGTTAACGTACTGCGTCTAAAAATAAAAATTAAAAAAAAATAACTTCTCCGCAAAATGCTTTTTTTTGGGGGGGGGGGGGGGGTGTTGAAGGGGGGACCTGCTTGGTTTGACTATAAGACACATTTACTGAGTCCCGTGCATCTGCTGTTCCCTTCCCCTGCCCAAACATCAAGCGAGTTGCAAATCTCATCGCATCTTTTCCTCACCCTCTATTCTCAAGTTAGTCCCCCCTCCCTCGTCCTTCTCGACGCGGCGTCTTCGGCGCTCTCCCCATATATCCCCCGCTATATGTCCCGACTCCCGAGACCGTTGCCGTAGCGCCGAACTCCAGCAAGTTTGGTCGAGATCTCCCGTTTAGGGACGAAATAAACGAGCGGCTCTTTGCCGCGCTTGAGGGAAGCAGTGGAGAGTGGCACGGGAGACCCCCATTCGAAAGGTGCATCCTCCCGCTGCGCTACGTGAACGCGGCAGGACAGGCTCCTTTTGTGAGGCGGACAATGGGTGCCGTTCCTCCGGCTGGTTCGCTCGGAATGGAAGGGCGATCATTGGAGCAACGGCCGGCCGTCTCTCTTTACGTCGGAGGAGCACGACGTCGCGGGAAGAGACGAGGACTTCCGAAATGGGGAACAAAGGGAGCGAATAAGGGAGAAACGTCCCTCCACCGTAATGACAGAAGGGGGCGGTCAGACGTTGAGCGAGACGGAGGAGGAATGCGGTAAACGGTCAAATAATATAGCTACGCCGGCGACTAAAGAGAGAAAGAGGTAAGTAAAGGAAAAAAAGGGGCCCGGGGGGGGGGGGGGGGGGGTTCGGAAAATCGTTGAGAAGAGCGGTGCAGTGGTTAGTGGTGGAGCGGCGCGGATTCGGAGGAAGATATGGAGGAAAAGTGTGGAGGGAGCAAACGGCGGGCAGTTGAGTAGATCGATGTGAAGGTACGTCGAGAGAGCGGTTAACAAAGTAACGAAACTCTGTTTGCTATATGAATAGATGGATACTTTGAGAGGACCGGATGTGGAGAGGGTAGACACTTGGATGCGTGGCCGCGAAGGTGGATAAAGTGTGGTTAAGAGAGCAGGTAGGGCGTTGGAAAGAGTGGTTGAAAAGTTAGCAGAGAAAGGTGAAAGAAATGATGGCAGGTGATTCTCCAGGCGATCCATGAAGGCAAAAGTACAGAGTGAGAGAAAGAAAGAGGTCGAAAGGGAGATAGAGAAACAAGAGCACGAGGGAATAATGAACGACAGATGTAAGCTGCGGAGGAAAGCAGACAAAACATCCCTTCGGCGAGACAAAGCGGACGATTTCCCGCTTCCTCCGGTCGGTGAACCGCGTAGAAGAGAGTGTTCCGATTGCTCCAAATATCTCTCCCGAGAGAGGTGCTAATAGGGACGATCTACGGGGGGTGCACATTCGGCCAAGCTTTATTGCTCGTGCCCTCTTGTGGTTAGGTATTCTTTCGCAACAATGAAGCGGACGGACTCGCCTCTAAATAATGGGGAGTTTTAGCAAACCGTTACCGTGTTCCGCGTACCGCACTACTGGAGCCTTTGAGGCATGCCTTTAATCGCGCGCCCCGCGGTGACGGTATCACTTCGGGCGCTCGCTATGCTTTAAAGGCTCCAGTAGTGCGGTACGCGAAACACGGTAACGGTTTGCTAAAACTCCCTACTACTGCTTCACCGGAAAACGGCAGCTCGTGCGCATACAGTGCCGAGAGTAATTTTAATACGGATTCGCCAAAATGATGCAACCGAATGAAGTACTATAGGGCATGGCGACAGAAGGTGGCCTACATTTAATGTACCATACAAACATTACAAAAGAAAAAAAAAACAACTAATATATTTTGCATAAAGGTCCGGCGCGCTTTATGTTTTTGTTTTACACTTTTTTATGGTCGAACATTTTTTCTATATTGACTTAGTCTGCCTCACATTTGTGAGTTTCACCACAAATTTGTTTCCGAATATGTTTCGAGCGATTATAATGGCAGAAGTAGCTTTAAAATACGCTCGATGCGCTCCTAAACATATATTAGTCGTAGATTGTGACAGCTTAAGTAACACGGGGCGGGGCCTGTTAATAACACGGCTTTTGCTTCTTGATGTGTTCTTTGGCGTTCTTATGGGCTCATGCTTCAATTTGATTGGCTGCGAAGGAATGAGAAAATGCTCGTGACTCGACGCGCACTGCCTTTTTTACGTTGTTAGAGACTGTCTCACTTTGATGGTAGGAATGGACTCGATGATAATAGGGAATTCAGCAGTGCGCGACTCCACGGTAGTGCTACGGGGACGGTCGCATTCCTCGCGGTAGCTCTCCTGGTGCGCCTGAGGACGTGCTATAAAATCGCAGGGCGAACTTCCGGAAGCTATACTGCTCCAGACGGTAGCTCTATGCTAAAATTGATCATTCGTTTGCGACTCTTCGCCAGTGTATTTTAACGATGCACTCCTAAACCCAGATTGCTGTAAAGGCTGCAACTGGCAGTCTATTTGAAGTATTATTTTATAACTCTTGGCTATGCCGGCGAGCAAAGCACGCATAGCTCTCTCTCTCTCTCTATATATATATAAAAGAAGGAAGGGAGGCGTGGTTTAAAAGGGCGGTGCAACAATATTTGTACTCTTGCACAAATATTGCTTAGAATGAATCCACGACGTTTATAATGTACGAAACAAGCGTTCCTTTTTTTCTTGACGCAACGGTGATCTAAAGCCGATTACCAACGTCAGTCAAGCCACGTGCTGGTTTTAGCAAAACTCGATCAGGACACCCTCTGTGTTCCAGACATTGTTTGCTAGGTTACTGTCATTGCAGCGATTTGACACGAGCCACTACCCGAATGTTTGTCGAGCAATTGATTATCACGAGGCCAAATCAAGTGCTCTCGCAAAGCTTGGGTCCAGTCTATGATCCGCATTTAAATATCGTCACTGAAGTACTGTGCCAAAACTGTGACCTCCAAACTGCGCCATCAAGTTTTGCGAAGTAGAGGCCGAACAAGAAAAAGTTGGCTTTTATTCTTGAAATCACACCGCAACATAAAGTTTTCTTGGTCGTTGGCGTTGCGTGCGAGTATATACTTGTGTCCCGCTAGCGCTGGTGAAAAAGATCCCAACTGAATATCGTTGCACCGCCCCTTGAACCTGCTATTGTAGATAGTCCCCTACTTGTCTTAGAAATAAAAGTTTTTAACTAATTCTTTTTTATTTAAGAGTTTGAAGGAGCAGTATTGGGGGTAAGAATGTTTCTCACTTTACACGATCTTAGTGGCACTACGTAAACCCAAGTATACTCGCACGTAACGCCACTGACCAAGAAGCCTCTTTGTCGTCGCGTAATTCCAAGTACAAAAAATTAATTGTTTTCTTTTCCAGTTTTTTCACAAAACTTGATGACGAAGTTGTGGGGATTGCGTTGCTTGCGTTGTCAACAATGCGATCCCCAGGATTTTGCCATCAAGCTTTGTGATCCCCGCGGTGACGATATTTCAATGCGGCTCATAAAGTGGACACTATTAGTGGATACGAGCAGTGTGAGACAATTCGATTAGGGCCCGTGACAATCAGGCATTCGAAATGCATTCAGGAAGGGACTCGTACTCAGTCGCTGCAATGACGGAAATAGCCGAATCTTTGAGAAACTTGGCGCACGTCCTGTGCCATAGCCTGTGCTTTGCCAGTCGCGATGCGTAGCTATTATAAAGGTTTGTGCCCATATCTGCTCCAGATTACGTGGCTGTTATTCTAGCTGTGAGTTGAGGGGTTGCACGCCGTTCGTTTTTCTCGGAGTTTTTCTGCAACTGCCATCTCGTAAAAAAAAGAAAAAAAAAGAAAAGATGTAACGCTTTATTTACAAATTAGGAATCTCGAGGAATATCTCTAAGCGGTATTTATTGAAAGTACACTATTTGTTGAATCGCCCCTTTAACTTCCGAGCACTGGCAAACTATATTTGGAGTAGTTGATTTTAAAACGTGTTCCTGTTGCTTTTATAAAGCGCGCGAGGTAGATATATTTAACAAAATTGTAATAATCGTATTGTGTGTGTGTTTATAAAGCCGGAAGTCAGCCTCAATGGGCATCTGGTGTCTCAGCTGTAGATAAGAAATTTGGCGAGTGCAGTACAGCCGCCAGCCTGGGGTCTTTAACGTGCACCGTGGAGTAGTGATACACGACCGCACGCCGGTAAGATGATTATCCAGACCGAAACGGGCAAGGTTAGGGTTAAGTGTACTGCATTCCCAATTTAACGTGCGTGGCCTGCTTTGTCCTCTTCTTGCGCAGTGGTTGCGATGATGCCAGTAGTGGCTAGACCTCAAGGCATGTAGCATTTAGGTCTACCCACTATCATTTCAGTCAAAGCCAACCTGAGCTCGGCGTCGCTCTGCTGTCACCACAACTCCTGCGCAAAATGCAGACGACTTGCTCTCCGCATACCTCTCATACTATTTGCACGGTGCCCGAAGTGTGAGTTTTTTTGGTAACGTTTCGTACATACAACTTTGGACAAGCTGCCAGGAATAGCGATGGAGGTGAACTGGCGTATGTTGATCACAACGCAAGTTTCTGAAGGTCTAAAAAAAGTACCGAAGACATGTTTTTCATGCTTTAGTTCTATATATAACCCTAGGGACACTACATCTTGTTCGAATCATTGAAAGTGGTTTTTCCAGGTTTCATTTTTCGTTTTTCTGGTGTTGCTATTGTGTCTCCCGGTTGCAATAAAGTAAACGTCCGAAGTTACGGCGTGCACGACGATGACAAACGAGGATGAGCGGGAGCGTCGCAGCACTCACCCGGTCCTCCACTCCCGGATCGGCATGGGCTGTCCAACCGTTCTGCAGGGAAGCTCCAGGTCCTGCTTCAGGGCTACACTCACGTCTCGGTTGAACGAAGCGATCCTCGCAGGGGCTGTTGGGACACCGGAGACATATGGAATACCACGACACGCTTTGGCGGAACATGAGCCGCGCGATCTCCCACTAATGTTACGAGCAAGGAGCGTGGGTAACATAGGTCAACTTAACTCTGCCGACACTCGTCGTCACAAAGAGCTTAGCAAGCGTACAACGAGACCTATTATGTTCATACTTCGTGATTCATTCTTGGCCGTGCTTATCAATTAATGCCCATTGGAACGGAGCGATAATGAGGTCCTCGGGACGTTATCCCGAAAAAGTAATACCGTTACTCCTTTCTAGCTCACAAAGTAACTAAATACGTACCTCGTTACCGATTCTCAAAAGGAACGCATTACTTTACTTCAAAAGCAGCGAGTTACTTTTCTCGTTACTTTGATGAACAAATACACAACTGCTTTTGTTTTATGGTTTATTGTTTTCTTTTCAGTGGTCGTTGCACTTAAGCAGCAGCTGCCTTTCAAAGCTTTCATCGTTTATGTTTCCCCGCTTCATTGAGAATACATCTCCGTCGACGCTGAAGAGTCAAACTACTGACGCGCTCGAAGGAACGGCAGTGTTGCGCTTCAGAAAGAGCTGGTGAATCTGGGATTCTCCTCTTTTTCTCTCTTGTTCTCTCTGCTTCTAAAGAGCCAAGTTCAAACTGGGATTTGTACCTACCCGTTTTGGCAACCTCCGGGTTTACATTCGGTCCGTACACGCCTTTAGAAAGGTTCAACGGACGTATGTATACCTTATTGTGTTTGTTGGGTGAAGGACATTCCAGCTGAAGAGTTCGACTGACGTGTTCAGTGATAAATGTTGCTGTACTGTCATAACGTTTAGTTGTTTTCCGAGTTGCCCATCTGCCTTCGTCGCAATAGACGCATACTCAGGTTAGAAACGAGGCTGTTTAAACGGTGTTGTACACTTTATTCCTCAAAAGTAACGTAATATCATTACTCGTTACTTGACCCTAGAAGTAACTAAGTATGTTACTCGTTCCTTAAAAAAAAGTGAATAAATACTTTACCCGTCACCGAGAAAAGTAACTAGGTACAAGCAACTCGCTACCAGCAATGCGTTACGTACATGTCAGCTCGGGACAATCGCGCTCTGCTAAGCTGTCAGTCACTATATGCAGGGTGTGCTTATTATTATTAAATAGGTGCATCCGAAGCATCATGCTCATTGGTGCGAGGTGTGATCAATAAGTTTCGCCTCCTAGGCTGCAACTTTTTTATTCAGTGATAAAAATGAAAGATGTTACCTACCCCGAAATGAAAATTTGAAATCTCCTCCTTTTCCAAGAACACACAACTTTTCAATAGGGTCCTTACCGGCGGCGATGCACTTCCCCTACCGGCGAACTACTCTCCGCATTGCCGTCGTATAGATGATTGAAGGGGGCTGTTTACGAGATCGACCATGCAACGCGGCGCGCTGCAGTTCCAAGATGTTTTGCCTCATTTAGCTTACAGCCCGAACCTCGCGCCATCAGACCTTTCACTGCTTCCCCATATAAAAGGAACATATGAAGGGTACACGGTTTGCGTCTGACGACCAGGTTGCCGATGCACTGCGCCGTTGGTGTCGTCGTCAACAGCCGCCCTCAATCATCTCTACGACGGCATGCGGAGAGTAGCGCACCGGTCGCGGAGGTGCATCGACTTCCGGGAGAGGGGGGGGGGGAGATATTTTTTAAAAGTTATGGGCTCCTGGGAAAGAGGAGATTCCATACTTTCATTCGGACATAACATCTTTATTTTCAATCACCGAATTAAAAAGTTACAGCCGAGAAGGTAAAACGTATTGATTCCCCCTCGCGTAGTGATCTTACATAGAAAAAATAGAGTTATTTTTTTTCTTCTGATAATGTTTCAACGCTGGCTTTGGTGCTTGCAAGATTTCTTACAATTACTAACATAATAAGAAACAGAGCGCGTGGCGAGTTCAGTGCGTCTTTTTGACGCTCCAAAGTCAATGGGATTTATACATTGGCCGATTAAAATGACGAAGGGACCACGAAGCGATTTTTAAGCGTGAATGTTAAAGCCACGTCCGGCCTTATTTCAGGCTGTGAGTGACAACAGATCAAAAGGCCTCTTAAGAAACGAGGTGGATTTTTCTTTTCTGTCTCGTTGTTTAAGGGCCTGTTCACACATATTCACAGGCTTACGTTATATCAAAGATTTATGAGCGCTTCGACGCATGTGACACTGGCTTTGTTTCGCTTATACTCACACAGTGCAGCGCTAACTTCGTCTTTGCATTATTTCATCGCTATGATGCCCGCGTGAACCGGCGTATAAGGTAGCCATGATTTCGTCAATGACGGCCCAGCAGAGACTTCTCAGACGCGGGTGCACTCACGGTGAGCGCTGAAACCTGTCGTCTCAGGAGCGACGCTGTTCAGGTCTCCGACGTAGGGGATGGCTTGGCCGCGTGCACTCACCACGGATCTCGGGACTCTGCGTGACGATACGGGTGGCCGGTCCTTCCCCGGCCGCCGTGGACGCGGTCACCCAGAACTCGTAGCGCTGACCCGTGCGCAGCCCCCGGGTCTCGTGCCAGAACTGGGACGAGGGCACGGCCACGTGTCGCACGGGGCCCACGTCCGCCGCCGGCGGAGCCGCAGATCCCGGGCCTATCGCCGCCGCCGCCTACATGCACGAGCAATCCCCATGAGTGGGATGAAGATATAAAAAAAAAATCTGAAGATATTTTTTTATTAAGTTACGCGCAAAGAATTTTGAGGGTGTGGAGGAGACGATAGCGCGCGAGGACGCTAGAATGCCGAGCCATAGCTTCCTCTGTACTCACAAAACCTGGCAGTTCGACGACGGAGCCATAGAGTGCCCGGTGGCAGATTTGGAGCGCCAGGATCTGGTAGCACAGAGCACTTCTTGGGGAGCCTGGACGCCAGCGCACAGCTTTTGCAGTGGCGAGAACCCGAAACATGGTTTTCAAACACGACGAGAAAAGAAGCGGTAGCGCGAAGAACGCGAGAAGCATGAGCGGACATCTCATCGCTCGGGAGAAGTGTGTTTCGGCGTCTCGCCGCAGCGGGGCGCCCGTCACGTGGCTCTCCTCTCATCCGTTGTCTGCCGCTCTATCTTCTCGATTTCGGCGGCTGCTTCTCGTGGCGATCTGCCAGGCTTTGTCAGTATAGAGGAGACTACGGCCGAGTTCTGTTTCGAACCCGTTCGAATGTCAAATGCAAGCGTTCAGCGTTCCCCGTTCGCATTCGGACGCGTTCCAACAGTCAGGAGAGACAAAAACAGCTGTCTTCACGTCTACCCACCAACCATTCCAGCCTATGTTCTCAAATTTACTCGATCTTACTCCAGGGTAAGGATTTTGTACCTTGGCGTTCGAAAACCTACCCGCGTCCAGCGTTTTGTCTATCTGTGTTGTTACGTGATACGACCTGACGGGGTAGCTCGGATCCATTTGGGAGAGATTTGGAACAGAGCCCCAGTCAGAACCCCACGTTCTGACGACCCCGCGCGCTCTTGTCTCCTCCTCTTCCTCAGTTTGTTTCTCGGCGCATGGGCCTGACAATGTACAAAAAAAAAAAAAGAAAAAAAACGACACGAAAACGCGACATGGAATTGACGTCATCCGGTAAAATTGGCGGGCGATGTTTCTTCCGCCAAATTTAATAGACGGTGGTCACGTGTCGTTCGTTATGTAGCCGCCACGTAACATGACACACCCATAAACCGTAAAGTACTCTGCGTACAAGTATTATGTCAGGAATGACCAAATCAGACTCTAAGATGTTTCACAAATATATATATATATATATACATAAATACAGGCGATATGCGCGTCGCTAACGCGGGAATCGGCGATTATCGGTAGAAAATGTTAGCCGACCGACAACGGAGTGAATGTAAAAACAGAAATAAATAAAGGCTTACTCGCAAGTTTTCTTAACAGTAAAGAAATAATAGTAATTTAATACTTTTTCGAGTAACTTGCTATTGCAATGCATTTATTTTAACTGAAGTAGTTATAATTTTCATTAGAATTACAATCTTGACTCAGTGTCCAACTTTCAGTTAGATACTGAACTTTATTTTATACAGTGACTGAAAAAAGAAGTACTGTAAGCCGCAGGCCGTTTCATATATTTGACCCTTAGCCAGTGCGCGTGGCACTGGCTGTCAATGATTTTTATTCAAAATACTTCGAGTTGTAGTGATAAAAATAAAACAACAACCACGCTTTAACGATATTACTAATATAAAATATAATATAACAACTTTAAGATTATTCAGAACCTCGCACCCTAAACTATAATTTATAAGCTTAACGAAACAAAGAAACAACACGTTATTAATGTATAACGCTGCACGGTGAATCCTCAATTAATGGGAAAAAAGCGAACAAGTACATACCTTCATTTCTGTCACAGTAACGTTACTACATCATTGTAGCAAAAGTTGTCGCGAAAAATTATATTTCAGAAATAATTTAGAATGGCACTATTACGCAGTGTCAGATTTAAGTGTAATTACCTATGTTTGAAGCTAAGTAATTGTAATTGTAATTCAATTACACTGCGCAAGTATTTCACGGATGTATTTTTGGCGAATGGCAAGGTTTGTAATTTGTCGAGACCTAAATGAACGGTCGGTGTTGTGACACCAAGCACGGAGTGAGCATATCTCGAAATTCCAGCAAAGTTCGGCATTTTGGGACTGACAAATATCTATAACGGATCCCTTTTTGCTCAAGCACTAAATATAAGATATATCTAATTTTTCTTTTCGGTTTCTACTGTCCTCATAGGTTGATGTCTGGTGGCACTTTGATACCCAGAGTGATCTTAACGGGCAATCGGTGACCTCAGTTAATAGCTAACTACGAGGAAGTGTTCTGCCGCCCTTCCAGCTTCTGCGCGCTTTTTTTATTATGCGGAAAGCAAGTCGTCCGCTTCTTGCGCAGGGGTCACAGTGACGTCAGAAGGACGCCGAGTTTTGATTGGCTTTGATTGAGAGGATAGTGGGCAGACCTCAATGCTAGATGCCTTGAGGTCTACCCACTATTTTTTTTTAATCAGCCAATAAGAGCTCGGTGTTCTGACATCATCGAAACCTCCGGTGCAAGAAGCAGACGAACTTACGCTCTGCATTGATGGCTATCTTGCGAGCATTGCGACTTTTACTTGTAACAAAACCGGTATTTGAGAGGTGACTGAGGTGACGCATTAGTAAAATGATTTTAATCTAGAGCATCAATCGCTTGCGCTGCATTATCCTCCCGTGTATTAATGTTTGTGGACATCGGCGTTTGTGTTTTTTTTTTTATCACCGATATTAACCACGCGCTCACTGATGCATACTAAATGAGATAACGCGCACTTGAAATCCGACGCCGGCAAACCAGCTGGAGTTGCGTCTTTGTGTTGCAGGTTGGAACGAAACGCCAACTTTTTAATATAGCGAACTTTCCAGATTGCAGGCACTGATGGCCCGTGTTCAATTGGTGCTTTGATTTTGCGAGCACGAGCTCCCGCTAGCAATGCACCCTGAGTAAAAACACTAAACTAAAACCATTATACAACAAACTACTTCAGGCGTGGTGCCGTAAGATTTCGCCTTATAGCTGCCTCTCCCAGCGACTAGTGACAGCCGCTAATAAGGGCTCAAGTGCCCACTATGCATAATTCCTAGAAATGATGCAGCCAAAAAGTTCCAATTACCGTCCTTTTTTTTTATTCTCTTTTTTTTTACGTAGGTTTGCCTAACATATATGTTATTAGTTATACTTAGAAATAATGGTTTGAATGTTGTTTTTCAGCTGGCCAAGCTAGTTATATATATATATATATATATATATATATATATATATATATATATATATATATTGTAAGGCGCCGCAAGTCAAAAGGCTCAAATGACGTTAATTTATTCGCTCATGGATTCTCTGAAATATGGCACCATAACGTGAAAACCAAATTTGCTCGACGGTCGCTCTTGACCAACGCCTTCTCCCTCGTGAGACCGAGCCGCGGTGCGGCTGGGGCTAATTTAATTTAGACGCCCCGTTGACACGAGACATCGGTTGGCATTTCGGCGCCGATAGATCGTGAGCGATGCAAACGTTAACCCGTGACTCGACTCGAGAGGGGGTAACATTCTGTGCCGAAAACAAACAAAAACACACACAGAAAAAAGAGCCTTTCGATGTGTAGACCCGACGTCGAGCGATAAATAAAGCCTCTTAACGCGTAAAATATGAAAGAGATCGAACGCGTTAAATAAATAAGCAGATACACCCCCTACCGGTTTCAACCTCAGCAAGGATTCAGCGACGATGTGCTTCTCGTTTTTGTTTTGTTTCCTCTCCTTCCTCAGTTTCGACTATTAAAAAGCCAAATAAAAAAAAAAAGGAAGTGTGAAAAGAGATATATACGTCCGAAACAGACCGGCAAATTTCTATCGAGGGCTCGGCAGCAAGGAACGCTACATACGGGCACTCCGAGAGAAGTGCAGTGCACGGCGCACGCTACACACAACGTCGGGAGATTTACGAAAGCGCATTGAGGCCCATAACTCACGGCTGCAGGGAAAAGCGGCTTTGAGAAGAGCAACGTGTCTGCCTGATCCACTTTTCCGAGCTGTTCCGCCGCATCAGTCGCTGCAGATGTTGTTCGGAGCGGCACATGAGCTCCGGCGCAGTTACATCTCGGAGGCTGGCCCCCTTGTTCTTTATCAATGGCGACACGCTCATACGATCTGCGCAGTCGTCGTCAAATCCCATTGAGACCAACTTTCCAGCGGCGTGACGCCTTTCTTTATATATATGTTTTTTCGTGTATTTTGCGCCGGAAAGGAGAGGGGGGGGGGGGGGGGGCGACTAACGGTTTACGTGTTTCTCCCGAAAAAGAACCTCGAGGGAACCGCCTATTTATTCGTTTTTTATTTTGTCTTTTTTTTTTTTTTTTTGCCGGCAGCTTTTATAGGAGCATAGTGACGGGCCCCGTGTTGGGGCTTATTTGTTGCGTCTGTTTGTCCTTCTCTTATTTTTCTATGTCGGTTCAATTGCCAAGAGCCCTCCTTCTTGCGGCGCTCTTTTTCTTCTTATTGCTGTCGGGAGGAAATCCGGTGAAAAGCCGTATCGATTCATTCGGCTGTGCGTCCCAACTGGGTTGTATGTGAGTCTGTGTCGCTCAAGGCCCCGCTTTCAAGAAACTAGACGGCTTCGGGTTTCCATGATGTACTTTTCTTTCTCTGTCTCTTTCTTAGTCCGCTTCTTGCGAGAGGGGTCTGCAAAAGTCTATGTCCAGCAGATCAGTGGTACTCTTCTTCCGTTTAGCAGCAGCTCAGAGCTCGAGCAAAGTTTTGGATTTCCTCCGCTAAGCCTTAAAGTCGGCCGCGCACTCGAGAGGCTTTTTTGAAGGCCTCAAGTACCGCGCGCGCAAAAAGAAATAAATAAAAAATAGAGCCAAAAAACGTGAATTGCATGGGCAAACGTGAACCTTCTCAGACCGAGCGCTCAGAAACAGCTCGTTTTCTTTTGGCTTCTTAGCTGCGCTTATCAATGAACAGATGGAGCGGGCGCCAGCAGGGATTACGACTACGGTGACAACCTGCTGAAATGGAAACCGTTCGTGTTTTGAGCTGAGCAGACTATGCAGACGTAGATCTAGCGTAGTGCACCCTGCACTACGATCAATAGCTCACTTTCTCAACCCTCTGGCTCATTGTTATGTGTCGGGAACAATTCTGTCCATAAAATAAAATGGGTTTCACGACTGTCATAATAAACACGCTGCGTTTGCGTCTATATTTTTAAAATATATCACACGGTAGTAATAGTGAACTATCCCCACGCTAGTGATTAAAATTCAAACTAAGCTTTACTGCTTTCTCTTTTTGAGTACGATGTCACTCGCCCTTCTTAATGAATAAGCTGATAAAAGAAACAACAATGACTGGCGCTTAAAGAGCATTAGGGGGCAGTATGTTGTACCCCCAGAGACTGAGTGCGGGCACGTGAATTTCAAAATGGGCGTCTTATAGAAGGTTATGCCTCTCTATGGATACTGTCCACGAGTGGCCGTGATTCTCAAAGATTTGGCGAGTACCACGAAAATTCAAAGAGAATACGAGCTCTACTCTCGTGAATTCTCTAGAATCTAGGTAATTCACGAGAGTAGAGCTCGTATTCTCTTTGAATTTTTGTGGTGTTCGCCAAATCTTTGTTAATCCCGTTAACATCACGAGCTTGTGGCAGAATCTCTTTTACGTCGTACTTCAAGATGTCTTATTATGAAGTCTGCAGTATTAAGGAGTTGAGGCTCAGTGTCGCTCTTCTCTTGTGCCTTCTTGCGCCTTTCGTTGCCCGTGGCCAGTCCTTTATCCTAGCCGCGTGCCAACCGCGCCACGACGGCAGTGTTCGGCAAAAGCCTCCGTACCAAGGGCCAGGCGCGCGGTTCGATGTAACGAAAGTCCCGGGTCGTCAAGTCCGATACAAACACACAAGGTGCCTATATACTCTTATATGAGATATTCAAGAGGATGCTTTGATCGTTCGAAATACTAGTCAATATTTCTAAGTACCCAGTTGGAAATAATCAAATTTGACTTGACGAAGTCTAAGTGCGCCTTCTATATTCTTTTAATGCTTACGCGTTACCTGCTATGTGCTGTGCATATTTTATGTCGCCTTGTCCTGCGTTCAACGTTTTTTAGTGAAACTCGAGCTTGACACTTATTGCATAATATTCAGTTCATAAACAGATTCTGTGTTAGAAAGCGACAATTGCGTTTCCATGCTGTGTCGCGATTTCTACCGTTGCTTTTCATGTTCTGATAATTTTGATCTTTCAACCCCTAAAAGATTAACCTTGTACGCTTCCCTTAGCGCTTGCAATAGCACAAGAGAATCGACCTATCTTCGCAATGGGACTTCAGTGAAGATCTATCAAAGAGCGACCTTGAAACGCGATGCCGAAAGTGCAGAAAGGTGTCTCTGAGATCGTTTTCTCAATGTTAGTACGCTTTCCGCAGTCATTGCAACTTAAGATGCGTACGTTTACTTGTATCTTGCGTGTCTTTTTTTCATATGGAATAGGCGAGCTCGCGTTTGCCAGACTGTGATTACGCAGGTGTGATATTGAGATTTCTGTTAACGGAAACTATGACTAGGCACTGGGGTATCACACATTATATGTAAAATGCATTATTATTTTCCACGTGCTTGATAAAAATATACGAGCCAGTTTTCATCGCGAGACATGAATGAATTCTGAGCACTGCTTGCCCTTACCTGTTTCCTATAGCCGTGGGACCTGGAGTAGACGGTGTACCTGAGAAGGACACCCCGGGACCTCACGGGGGGCTTCCAGCTCACCAAAATAGCGTCGGGTGCCAAGATCAGAGCCTTGATGTCCTCGGGGGCCTGGGGCACTGAAAGGTTTCCCACACTCATGCGCTGTAGCTGACCAATTATTGGAGAAAACATTTATCCTTCAAAAGCATGTGAATTCACCGACGTCAACAGCCAGACACCCTTTCATCCTAAATAACATTTAACAAAAAAACTATGTATCGAATATCAATACGAAACCGCGCTGTTCAAAAGCTGCTGCAATCGTATATATATATATATATATATATATATATATATATATATATATATATATATATATATATCTATAAAAAAGAAACGGGCGCCATTTTTATTTTGGGGAGGACTGTGAAACTTTTTATATAACATGGGCAAAACATCAGTCACTATTAGTTCTGTACCGCCGTTCATAAAGTCTCCGATTTCAAAACCCGGTTATACACAAGAGAATTCTTGACGAATTAATGCTCCCGAAAATACTAAATGCATCTACAGGCTGCAGTTGCTTGTCACACGAGTTATCCAGATCACGCCTTTGCTCAGTCGCTCACTTGACAGAGATATGCGGATGTGTGATTTGAACTCAACACTCTAAGAAATGCCTGCACGTCTGCTTACCCGCAACACACTCGAAGAGCCAATCTCTGCGATCTAAGAAATCAGCTCAGCGAATGATGAGGTGGAACATCCGTTTAGATCTAAAAACGAAGTCTGCGCTGTGGCATTACACAATACAAAGCATTATGCTTGCATTGCGTAATGACACAGGCAGACTTAATTTTGAGGCCTAAACAGATGTTCCGCCTCATCATTCGCTGAGCTGATTTCGTAGATACCACAGAATGTCTCTTCGAGTGTTTTGCGGGTAAGTAGATGCGCAGGCATTTCTTCGAGTGAATTAACAATAACTCGGTTGAAACTTTATGATAAGCGAAATTACCATGAGACCTTTCGGTTAAGGAAATATGCGATGGAGATTGGAAGCCAACTGAGCACTCTTAAGGCCGATTCTCAGACACAGCGCAACGCTATCTTTACGCTGAATCAACACTTTTGAAACTGCGTTAACTTTGCATAGTCTTGAACATAATTACCAGCGACGCAGTGCTGCATCAGTTCAATGCACTGGTATAGTGAAAACTCAGTCCTGCCTCAGAGCTAAGATCAGAGCTATGCTATGTGCCAGGTCCTTAATTTGGCTTCACTTGGGTTCCAAGTAAATGAGCGTCCCACATAATATTTCCGAAACGAGGGAAATGCTTATCTATGTGGATCGGGACTTATATGAAAAATATGTCGGTTTATTTGTGAATTGTTTACTCGGGTATTATCTGGATCCACCCCTTGTTCAACTTATTCCGGAGAAGCGGAACATTTTTGCAGGATGTTCCGGTTGGTACTGGAGCAGATGTAGAACAAGATTTAATATCCCTGTTTTACGGGCAACTGAAAGGCCTTCAGAACGAACTACTTTAACGAATTGGCGAATCAGCTCTCGATCTCAACTCTGCGTGCGCCCCTGGGCATGCGCTGGTTTGCTGATCCTTTAAGAACCTGTTACATTAAGGAAACAGGACGGCGACATCAACATAACATGTTGATCAACAGTCGTGCAACATGTTGGCCTTTGGTTCTGTTGCCCAAGGTGTTCCCATTGCGGGAACATCAGCACAACATGGACGACAGCGACATTGTTGCCTCGGTGTGAGAGCTCACGGCTACAAAAACAGCAGAAACTTGTTAAAGTAGTGAGTGCGCAGGCGAGCTGGTGGATGTTAACCATTTTGTTCTTAGCCCGAGACTGAGACAGAAAAAGAGGAAAGTTTTAAAGTAGAAAAATGAGCAGTCCTCGACTGTTCATTTTTCTTCTACTTTGAAACTTTTCTTTTCTCCTGCCTCATTATTTTCGGGCTAAGAACAAAATGGAGAAACTTGTTACAACGCGCGTTGCTTGGTTCGGTAGATGATCGAATTTTGTGCTGACAACACGACAACACAAACTGCTTGGACGAGCGTGAAGCCCTCCATCAGTAATGTATTTCCTTAAAAAAAAGTTACCAAAATAAGGGCTGGTAAATGCTATTTAACAATATCCAAGCCTTGTGTGCCGCTGAGAATGTCACAACTGCTGTCTGTCTTGAGTATTTAAAGAGTCAGTTAATATTTGAATTGCTGAAAAGAATCAACCCACATGTTCCTGGAATGGTAAAAAAGGCATGCGTACTTATACTCGTTGAAAATATGTTAAAGTAATTCACAAAAGCCAGCGATCCCAAAATCAAACTAAAGAAAGACCGCGGTCGAAAATGATCGTGGATATTTGGAGCTTGAAAACAGCAGATGGAGACACGTAAAATTATTTTAAAACCCTGAGCGTTAAGACGAATGAAGCGATCCTAAGCCAGACAGGGAAGGCAAATAGACACCATTAAAATATTTATTATACCGATCGTTGTGACGGCCATACCGTCAGTCGATCGTAAATGATTATGACTGAGCGCCAGTCTACACAAAACGCTTTGGGGTACAGTGGCTATGACGGTTACATTAGAAATGGGACTTTTTTTTTTTAACGTAGAACGGCTTCATGGCCTGACATAAACCTTGAAATTAGCAGTGATCTTGTCTTCCTCGGTTAGAGCTAGCTGCTTTGTCACCGAATGAAGCCCTTCGGACGCGCTGGAATTTCGTTGAGGACATTTCCAGCGACGCCGCACTGCATACGAAAGAAGGCAAACAAACAAAATGCTGCAATGTGTTGGCCACGCCGTCAGCTCAATCTGACAGAGTGTTCTCGGACTGTCGGAGAACAAATAGGCCAGCACGGTTGCCGGGGGACAAGAAGATGTTTCCAAACAGTTGATGTTGTCTCAATCTGACAGGGTTGCCGGAAATATGTTTCCCTTGTGTTGACGGTCGAGGTTGTCCCACTGTTTCATCAGTGTGACAGCACCCTTAGAGGAGTTTGTGCTGAAGCCCTTTTCTGTTCCTGTGAAACGGAAGCTGTGTTACGGGTACTTAAAATGTTCTAACAACAAACTCAAAACAAAATAGGCGAATCACCGCATGCCGATGGGCACAAGCAGAGTCAAGAATGCAAGCTGACAGGCCGATCTTTGAAGGAGCTCGTTCTGAATACCTTGTAATTTTTTTAAAATGAGTCATTTACAATTTAAGAGCAAATACACAAGTGTTTACTTTCCTCCTTAGCACTCCTGCATTTGATTCACGAAGCCTGTTCTTTATGTGGTCTTATACCTGAATTTTTGATGCGATTAATTTATGATTTTTCTTCGTGTGAAGTATATACCCAGGTAGCACAATTATTTGGGCCAAGATGTGGTTTTGTCTGGATATCTAGAGCTTTCAAAAGTGCAAAAAAGCCAAGAGAGTGCCAACCTTGACCTTCTTTGACCAAAGTCTGGGTACCTTTGTCCTAATTCGCCAAGCAAGTGCCGAAGTTAGGCTTCACTACTGGCAGTTTGACTGTGATCTGGAAATTTTGGGCCTAAATTACCAAACAAATTCCAGAATTTAGGCCTGACTTCTGGTTTTTTAGTTTTCATGTAGTTACAATGGGCCTAAATTGCCAAACGGGCACCGAATTCAGTCTTCACTGCTGGTTCTTCGGTTCATTCGTAGCATCTCTGACTTAAGTCCGGCACATTGACAATTATGTGAGGAGCCAGAGAGAAGCTATAGAAATTCCAAAGTACTCTGGCACGTATCAACGTCTTGGGGCAAAACCGATTTTACAAGCTTTGCCAAGTTAAGCCGTGGTCATACAAAATACAGTCTGTGTAAAGATTCTAACACGAGTCTCCGCGAGTACCGTGCTTTGAATGCTGCATCTCAATGAGTTCAGGAATAAGCTTGGCACGCGGCATTCGAACCACGGACATTGCGGGGACTCGTGTTTCCAGACTATCTTTTGTATGATGCACGAGCAGTGTGACCCCGGCTTTAGGGGTTTCTCCGGCGTGCTACCTGGGTATACTCCTTTCCGAAAATGGCTTCTGGCCGCTACCTCTGAATCAGTTACCGCCTAGGGTGCGTTCTCGGAACCCCTGCATAAGCGATGAGCCCGCACCTGACCAGTTGTGAATTTCGCATGCTGGACAATGATCTGGTATTGATAAATTAAACCTCACGCAAATAAAGCGACGGCGTCTTGACTTATCGCCCCGACGCCTGGTCGCGTCCATCGGCTGTAACCTTTCTGCTCTGTTCCAGACTACGGCGAAACTCATCCCTTGGTAACCGTTTCCTGCTCACCTGCTTCCGGCGTGCTGCAATGGACGGGGTCACTGAAGGCTCCCGCTCCTGCTCCTGTTCGTGCGGCTACGCGAACGCTGTAGTTGCTGTAGGGCTCTAGGCTGCTCAGCACGGCCGCCGAGGAGCCTGCATTCACGTCCCGCTCCGCCCAGCTGTTTTCTTCCTCGCCGGTGAAGCCCTCGTATTGTGCTGGAATATTTCGTTGTGCTCGTATAATTAAGGACACCTTCAGTTAACGCCAGAGACACTATTTTATTGTACATAGGGTGTCGTAGCATTGTAAAATGTATTGAATCGCATTGCCATTCATTTTTGTTTTGGTGTTCAATATTTCACTAAAGTCACGTTGTGCCTCTCCCACCACGGTTCTGGTTGGAACAGCCAGTGTTATTTATAATAAATAAATAATACCCCACTTCTCATTAAATCCGGCCGAGTCGATCAAGCAGCACCAAAATTTCATCGTCATGGCGCTCGTAGTCTTTGTAAGTTTGACCATAGCCACCTATATACTGACAAAGCCTGGCAGACCGCCACGAGAAGTGGCCGCGAAATGGAAAATGTTCAACGGCAGACAACGGATGAGAGGAGAGCCACGTGATTGGTGCCCCGCTTCGGCGAGACGCCGAAACACTTCTCCCGAGCGAACAAGTATGTTTTGGGTCCTCGCCGCTGCAAAAGCTGTGCGCTGACGTCCAGGTTCCCCGAGAAATGGCTCTTTGATGCTCTGTTCTACAAGATCCTCGCACTCCAAATCTGCGACCGGGCACTCTATGGCTCCGTCATCGAACTGCCAGGCTTTGTGAGTATAGAGGAGGCTATGGCTGGATACATCACCGGCTATACCAACGACGCACGGTGAATGGTCCGTGATGCTGCGCTTCTCACAGTGCGTGATTGGCTTAGCCGGTGATGCATCAAACGCAGAACGACGACGAGCGCGCCATGATGATTCACTTTTGGTGCTGTTGGATCGGCTCGGCCGAATCGTAGCGTTGGCTATGGTGGGACTTGTTGTGAAGCGGAGTACAATAAGGTTCAGAGTAATGCCATTTCAACCATCTTGGTGATAAAAAATCATTCTTTGTAGTTGTATAAAACCTTTATCTGAATTCGCCGGAAACGGCTTTTCCGTACTCCAGAAATGTTAAAAACAGTCCGTGACGGAGTAAAAACAATATCTCCCGTGCGTATACCTAAAGCCGAGGAAGTCGCGTTTTTGAATCCTGACAATCGTCAAAAGAACCCTTTTGAACAGCTCATCCAGCAACATTGGCGGACGCCATTCATTGGGCACGAGGCATGTGATTAGATCCGAGTCCTCGCCGAGCGCTGACGCAGCACTCGCACTCGATACGAGCTGAGCCGTATAAACACATGGTTCAGTTATCACTAAAACGTGTTGGTACTGATTAAACATGATTAAAGTTGCGCACAAAAGGACAGGGACAGAGGGGAGAAACACGTAGACGACAGACAAGCGCGCATGTGAGTTGTGAATGCGCGCCTTTCTGTCGTCTACGTGTTTCTCTCCTCCGTCCCTGTCTTGTTGTGCGCAACTTTTAGCCATGTTTAACATATGGTCCTAATTAGAAACTTGCTGAGCACTATCGAAAACACAAAGTCAGTCGATATCAAAAAGACTTGGGGCGCTAAATTGATCGCTCCTGCAGCTGGAGCAAGGCTAAAGGTGCGATAACGCGCCCGCGCGGTTGTTACATTTCTTATCCGCATTTGCAGGAGTGGTAACTTTAGCGCACTATTGCGCTTGCCACGCCCTCAAAGTCCTTCTAAAAATGACTGATTTAGGGGTTTTCAATGATGCCCAGCAAGTTTCTTAGAGGAGCCATATTTCCATTACGCAAATTAAGAAATAAATTAACAAAATTTTGTTAATTATTTGACTTATAGTGATTATTAGCCCTTATATTATGCCCCTAACTGTATAACTCACGTGCACAAAAAAAAAGTTGTATGAATGTTTATACAGCCGGAAGTTAGTCAGCCTTAATGGGCGTCTGGTGTCTCAGCCGTAATTGATAAATTTAGCCAGGGCAGTACAACCGCTAACCTGGCGTTTTTAACGTGCACCACGCAGTTGCGATATACGGCCGCACGCCGGTACGATGCTCATCTAAATTTCAACGGGCAGGGGTGGGGATTGAACCCAGGATTCCTGGGTTCCTCAGCTCGAGCTTTCGTTCCACGTGCTCCGAGCTGGTGTGCGCTTTTACTCAGCAACCGATTCCCCACTTGCACAAACCGCATTAAAGGGTCATCGGAAAGGGACGAAAAACAAATGCTGCTCTAAGGGCGTCATGCTGCTCTAAGGTACGACATTGGTTAGTGCGTCGAATAGTGACGTCAGAGACGCGGCTCACTTCTTCACCGTGCTGTAGGGTAGGGAATCCCGTGCCATAGCCTCCTCTATACTGACAAAGCCTGGCAGATCACCATGAGACGTGGCCGCCGAAAGTGAAAAGGTAGAGTTGCAGACAAGTGGCATATAACGGGCGCCCCGTTGCGGCGAAACGCAGAAACACACTTGTCCCGAGCGATGGAATGTCCGCTCGTGCTTCTCGCGTTCCTCGGGCTACCGCTTCTTTTCCAGTCGGGTTTAAAAACCACGTTTCGAATCCTCGCCGCTGCAAAAGCTGTGCGCTGACTATAGGCTCCCCGAGAAATGCTCTGTGCTACCAGATTCTCGCGCTCCAAATCTGTGACCGGGCACTTTATGGCTCCGTCATCGAACTGCCAGGCTTTGTGAGTATAGGGGAGGCTATCACTGTGCCTACGTCGCCACCATGTCCTTGTGGATGCCTGCCGGAGTTAGGCCCTTCCGAGACAAATATTTCATCACCGAGCGCCTCTTCACTTCCTTCATTTTAGCTCGGCTGTGCCGATTTCTACCTTCTGGTGGCTAGCACAGGAAGAAGATATATTGTGTGCATGCGCTATTTTTGGTATCGCGAAGCTCAAAAAGTGCTCGTGTGTTATAATAGTTTTGCCCTTGTGCTTTCATTCTTTCTGTGTCAGGCCGAGTACTTTTGGGACCCCCTCGTACAAATATAGAATAATAGTGAGAAGGGAACCGTCAATACTAGAAGGGTGACGACGTTAAATAACACGAAATGCGAAATACTAAAGATAAATAGATACTCTTTTTACAACTCATTGCATCAACAAGCACGAGAACAATAAAAACATAAAAAAACACCCAAATAAAGAGCAACTCTTCACAATATCGTTCAAACAATGTCGGATCTAAAAGAGTGACAATGTTTTAAGGACAACTGCAAAACAATGTTTTAAAAAGAAAACAAGTTTCGCAAATCGCTGAAATGCTAGTTGTATTTTATGCGGAGTTCTGTTTTTGCGGACGGCCATCTCCAATAATGAACGCTTAATGGAGGCTCCACTCCTTCCGCGACGTCATAAAAGTAATGACTGGTGCAAGGACGCTATTTCTATATAGAACTTGGGGGGTGGAGCCCGCCCTATAGTTCTTTTTGCACTCTAAAAATGCCTGCAGATTTATTGTCCTGCAGAGCAGACAGACGACGAAACCCAAAATTGGCTTAATTCGGAAGTAGGATCTTTCCAAGAGGATTCCACTTGTGAATTGTCTTGTGTATTGTCTATGCGCACGTATCGTATTAAGTGAGACAACACACTCTGTCTTACCTTAGTACGCACTGCCTCAAAGTTTTCAAGATTGTACTCCTATCATTGCGGCACGAACGTTCAAGCAGCAGATACGCTCTTAAAAGCCAGAACTTGGAGCACGTAACCTTCGCTGCGTTCCACGGTGGCGCAAGCCGCCACCTGATTAAAAGGGTTCAGCCATTTGCGTCCATCTATTGATTCATCCGTACCCACCGAACGTAGTTTGGGCGCCCGCCGCTTTATGGCGTCTCTATGTGGAAAAGTGCAGAGCCGTATATGGGGAGAGTTTGGTCAGTTTATGATCTCGCCGCCGAAACGCTCTCCTCCCGAGTGAGCCAATCAGCACGCGGCGCAGAGCGAGAGGCATGAGCGCATGCGCGTGAACTCCCGGCTGCTCCCAGCTGAGTGGGGAGGGCCGCCATCTTCGATCATTCTCCCGGCGGAATACGTGGGATTGGCATCTAAACCTCGATTATTGCCTTTTATATCGCTGGTTCTGGCAAGAAAATGACATTCTGTTATTCCTCGGTGGGTTAAAAAGCTAATAAATGAAGATTTTTTGGCGTATGGCCACGAACTTTTATTCAGGCGAAAAAGAAGTCGGCCCGTAGCAGACGACGCGTAGGACGCGTAGCCTCTGAAGTGCTCTTCTCCGACCAGTCTCCGACAGCGTTGCTAAAAAATGGCGGTCGTTTCCTCTCTGCTCCCTTCTTTCTCTCTCGCTCCCTCGGCGCTCTCCTCCCTTTCATTTACTTTTCTCCTCTCCGGCGCCTTCGTCGCCACACCCACTGGCCAAACTCTCCCAATATACGGCTCTGGAAAAGTGGTTAGCATGGCGCGCTGCCGCCCGATTAAAACGGTTCAGTCGTATGCACTCTTCCAATGATTCATCCGTACCCACCCACTGCCGGCTGGATACGTGCTCGCTGTCGTACTGTCTGTCCACTGAGGCGTGATAACACCTATGTTTACGAAGCGACACTGGCACATAGTAGACTAAGTGCCAGTGGGCGGCCGGGATGACCTAGCCACGCGATAACGCAGCGCATGCGCACTGTCGACCAATCTCCGATGGAGGCGTCCGCCATTAAATTGCAAACGGCCCCTGTGGTTTGAGTTGCACCCTCTCTACAATCTAGGCTATCTACGAACAATAGGCGACAGAGGCGACGCCGCCGGCGTGACCCTTTGCAACAACTCTGGTCAAAGCAAACTGGAGAAGCTGACCAAGAAGAAGCGAACACATAAATCGTTTGGAAACTATCGCAGAGCCTGCTATGCCATATTCCTTACTTTGTTTAGGAAATGTGACATGCGCGTAAGCTTCTGCTAGATTCTCGGTGACTGGCAGTGAACGTTAATTCTGAGCGTGAACTCTGAGAATCACTAGAAAAATCACCAGCGCTGGTCGAAGACCTGAATGTTGACTCTCCTCCAGGTATACTGGCGCGGCACGAAAATCGCAGGGTGTGAGCATTTTCTTGTTTATTCATTTAATTGCCTATAAAAGAATAATCTGCTAAATGCATCAATAAGGAAATAGAGGACGTTACGCATACACCGTAGATTGCTACTTGTTGAAAAGAAGGGTGTTTCTTGGTATTTTATTTTTTTTACGTGGTGCTTAAGGATTAATCGCTGGGCAGCTGGCGGAAAGACACGCCAGAAGTCTTCAACGATGTTGACGTGCGATTCGAGACACAACAATACACCACTGGGCAACGAGAAACAGACCCCTCTCAGCAGCAGGGTTAGCAGGGTGGAACAGCCAAAATAATAGGGTGCCAGCGCCCCCCTGCAGAAAGATGCGCATATGTAGTTTCTCTTGTGACGGAAAGGGGCCGTGTAAAAAAGAAGCGCGCGAATCCAGTCCGGCCGTGACCCACCGAACGTAAAGGCGCATTCCCACCGGCGATATAAGCAGTCGCACGATGCGACTAGATCGCATCGAAAAAAAAAAATGAGATGGTCACACCGGCGTGCGCGATGAGCGAGTCCAACACCTTCGTTGGCGAGTCGTTTCTCGAAAACTCTCGCTCCGAACGCCGTTGATTGGCTCAGCCGCTCCGCGACTAGATCGCATCGCAAAAAAGTCGGGTCGACAAGCGACGGCTCAAATCGCGTCGCCTTTTGCCCGCGATGGTCGCTTTTACGATGAAAGTTATCGCGCGACTAGATCGCATCGGCGGTGGGAACGCGCCTTAACTCGGGCACCTGTCGCTTGAGGGCGTCTCTATCCGGAAAAGTGGCTAGGTGGCGCGAGCCCCCGCCCGATTAAACGGGTTCAGCCACATCTATCCATTGGTCATCCGGTGGCTCATCTTCATTCCCTTCATAATGAGAAATATTAGTAACGCTCCGCGAGGAGCCGTAGATAATTAATGCGGTTCTTGAGGTAAAAACTAGCATAGTCACAGAACGGCTTGCCGTCTTGCTATTTTTTTGTGGTTTGAGAACAGGCGGTACCGCGTGCGGTATGTTAATTTGCACTTGGGGTTCAAAAAGCACGAATAAAAATTACCCCCTAGCTTACCGTGTTGTGTACGTATCTGTCGGTAGATGACCCTGTATCCCTTGTGGACGCCGTCCAGGTTCTTTTCGAGCAGCTTGGTCCAGCTCACGCGAATGGTGGTCGGGGAACTGGAGCTGCACTGCACTCCCGGAGGAGCCACCTGTGGTACTGCAAATCCACGTGACAAACGTCCTCAGTTATGAAAAAAAAAATTATATATATCTACGTAACTTTCTTCCACCAACAGGCAGAGCGATTTATCACGTTCCACTTCACTAAGCAGGCAGTATAGTCACCCGATTTTCAACCGAGATTTTTCTTTGCATTCCCTTTCTTTCTTATTTTGTTTGCAAGAGGAAACACTACCGCTTCGCCTTTCTTCTAAAGAAGCGCCGTCGTCTACTAAACCTCAGAACAGGAGCAGGGACATAGCCTCCTCTATACTGACAAAGCCTGTCAGATCGCCACGAGACGCGGCCGCCGAAAGTGAAAAGATAGAGCGGCAGACAATGGATGAGAGGAAAGCCATATAACGGGCGCCCGCTGCGGCGAGACGCCGAAACACAATTCTCCCGAGGGATGGAATGCCCGCTCGGGTTCCTCGCGTTCCTCGCGCTACCACTTCTTTTCTCATCGGGTTTGAAAACCACGTTTCGGGTCCTCGCCGCTGCAAAAGCTGTGCACTGAATACCAGGTTCCCTGAGGAATGCTGTCTGCTACCAGGTCATCGCGCTGCAAATCTGCGACCGGGCACTCTATTGCTCCGTCGTTGAACTGCCAGACTTTGTGAGTATAGAGGAGGCTATGGCAGGTCACATTATTGGGATTCACGGATCAAGGTCAGCGAATGAGAAGACTAAAATGAAGTCGCTCGTTTGATTTACCTCCCAAACGTCCAATATGCAGTTTGCATTGGCGATATATACAGTGATCTGGGTTGCTTAACGGCGTGACGTCGCCTTAGACCACGACTTGACACCCCACTATTCGCAATTTTCACAACCTCTAGGGGCCGCGCTTGCGCCTATCAAAATGGCTGCCATCTGGATGATCGTCGTAGAACCGCGGTACGAGGCTGGGTCGGTGACGCGTAATTCTAGTTTTGCTATATGCAGGCAGCATTTGAGCCTTCAGTTATTTTTTCACGTCAGGAACGTGTAAGCCAAGCACCTTTTTTACAAAGCCTAATATTCAGAAACTAAGGAGCACGATTCTCACACCGCACACTATCGCTGAAAGTTGCGAATACTATAGACGTTTCCACATTATGTGCGAGTGTAGCAGAAGCTACGAGAGCGAGCTCGTGACTATCAGTATCCCTACTAAGCAAATACGCTCGTGCAGTGTAAGCTTCGCTCAAGACAGCACGCTCATGGTTGTAAATTCAGCTTCGCTGGCACCAACGTTACTATTTCACCTCATTCGGTGGGAGTTGATACCACGAGGGCGCCACATCATTTGGTGCCTTAGTAGAGTTACGGTGGTGTATTTATTTGTTTTTCAGCAACACACAGCGATCGGATAAGAAGATTTTCCTACGGAGAAGTACCTGTAATACGTTCGTAGGATCCTGTGCGCTTTGTAAGACGTAGTAGAAATAAGAAAAGAATGTGAGACGAAAAGAGAGAAAAAAAAGGAAAACCGGAAGCGGACAGGGGTCCGCCGATAGTGGGTGGCAGTGAGCTCGTTTGCAAATAAACAACGGTGAATACTTGGTGTCAACTATTTTGTGTTACATTGTCAAGGCTATAGCTTCCACAGTCCTGCAGCCTCGCACTGCTGCGAGAGCACGTGGCTTCTTGCGTCTCATTCGGATGCGCTCGCGTATCTAGATTTGACATAGTTGAAACACTGCGAAAGCTAAGCTAGTTTTGACAAGGTAACACAAAATAGTTGACGTCAAGTATTGGCGGTGAGAAGCTCGCTAGGGGCGTTTCTGTTTTCCTCACTATAAAGCCCCTTCATGATATACCTCACTATGAGTAGTGCAGGTGCTACTCACGCGGTTATGTTTTAATTTTCATAGTGCATAGAAGCTTGGCATTGCACGAGCTTGCGCCAGCAAAGGATGGTGAAGTATCCTCACTCTGGGTTGTGCAAAAAATTCCACCAGGCGGCGAGACCCAAACTTCTCGCCTCGGGCTCAATTACGAAACTACCCATAGACACTGCTTTTACGAGCAGTACCCTCCTCTCCCACCAAAACCAACAAAACCAAAAAAAGAAAGAAAGAAAAGCAGGATGGGGGCGTGTTTACTCAGCATTGTAAGACTATGCCTCTCAAAGTGCGATACGCCAATTTGCTATCACTATTGCAATAGTAGTACTATTGGTAACAATAGTACGATCACACCACTATTGATTTTTCCATTTGATTAATATTACGAGTATAATTACTATTACCCTCATGAGAGTATTACTAGATTTACTTTTTTTTTACATTACTATTATGATCACTATTACTAATTATGATCCCTATTACTAATATTCGATGTAGCATACATAATATCCAATGAATCGGCGTAGTTGTATCAAAATATATTATTGACCGAAATAAGTCCCCTAACGACGCGTTGGGCGTTATTTTAAAGCTCCATCCCCAGAAATCTGTGCCATCGCATGCTAGCGCCATCTCTTGGCGGATTATGGCAACGCTCCCATAGAAGCAATGTATTAAATATAGAAATACGGCAATATTTGCTCAACATCACATTTTTTCAGATTTGCCATGCTACCCGTCCAATCTCTGACACGATCCAATCCTTCCGCAAAAAAGTCAAGATTACAGCGCATAAACTGCAGGTTCCTCATTCGAGTAAATTATTTGATGCATAGCCGCTATGGGTGGTATCAGGTTTGATCGGTTTTTAAAATATATTATTAGGTGAGTGAAATAAATTTTAATTTTATATTATAAATACAACCCTCCCCCAATCATATGACAAAGTTTCGTGATTTGTATGATATTTTGTAATGCGTAGAAAAAACATCTTTCTGGGGCACCTCTCCCAAACGTGCCACACAAAGTGATTTTCAAACCTCCCTAATTTAAAAATACAGAAAGATACGAGATTTGCCATATAACTGCGACAAGGCAAAAACATCCAGGAAGCGTAGTGTACGCTCTGTCTTCTCTCAAACTTATTTGCTCGGGTTCCTGAGACCAGTTTGTCGAACCAGGCGCATAATCGATCAGCCAGCTGTTCAGAATCGTTTCCTGCATTCTGCTGCTGGGATCACTAAACTACCAAACAAAGAAAGCAACTATTTGTTTTTTCATTTAGAAATTTTATCATGGCTGAGAAAAGGTATAGAAATATTGTTATTAATCATTAAGAAATTATTGACCTTGGCGAAGCTACATTTAGGGCGAATAAAGTGGGAATATTGAGTGATTATTTGGCAAGGAAGCTGACTGTACTTGATGGTCTCTTCATGACACGTCAAGCACATAAATTCAAAATATCAAGTAAAAAACATGTCGGTCGATCCAGCGAGGAGAACATTGGAAAATGAGAACTACGTAACGTCCTCGCTCGAACGCCTTTCCCATCGAGGAGGTTTATTTTCAAGGATATGCAGTTGTACCATGATTGATTTGATGGACTTAAATTTTATCATTTTTCCCAGTTAAAGACCCGAATGTTCTAAACAAGTTCCTTGTGGATGAGCGGAGGCCGAAATTTGAAAAGTTGGACGAAGCCGTCAAAACGGAAAAACCAGGTCTAGTTTGAAGCGGTTTTTCTCACGACAGATTTATTTCCAAGTATTTGCCATGGCACCAGCATGTAGTAGAGGGATGAAAATGATATATGTCGCCCAAAATGGGTGCATGAGCCGTGCTCCAAAAGTTCCCTGTGAAGGCGCGGGTGCTCAAACCTTAAAAATGGGACGAAACCGTCGAAACGGAAAAACCAGGTCCACTTCGGAGCGGTTTTTCTCAAGACAGATTTATTTCCAAGTATTTGCCATGGCACTAGCATGTAGTAGAGGGGTGAAAATTATATATTTCGTGCAGAATGGGTGCATGAGCCGTGCTCCAAAAGTTCCCTGTGAAGGCGCGGCTGCTCAAACTTTAAAAATGGGACGAAACCGTCGAAATGGAAAAACCAGGTCCACTTCGGAGCGGTTTTTCTCAAGACAAATTTATTTCCAAGTATTTGCCATGGCACTAGCATGTAGTAGAGGGATGAAAATTATATATTTCGCCCAGAATGGGTGCATGAGCTGTACTCCAAAAGTTCCCTGTGAAGGCGCGGGTGCTCAAACTTTAAAAATGGGACGATACCGTCGAAACGGAAAAACCAGGTCCACTTCGGAGCGGTTTTTCTCAAGACAGATTTATTTCCAAGTATTTGCCATGGCACTAGCATGTAGTAGAGGGATGAAAATTATATATTTCGCCCAGAATGGGTGCATGAGCCGTGCTCCAAAAGTTCCCTGTGAAGGCGCGGGTGCTCAAACTTTAAAAATGGGACGAAACCGTCGAAACGGAAAAACCAGGTCCACTTCGGAGCGGTTTTTCTCAAGACAGATTTATTTCCAAGTATTTGCCATGGAACTAGCATGTAGTAGAGGGATGAAAATTATATATTTCGCCCAGAATGGGTGCATGAGCCGTGCTCCAAAAGTTCCCTGTGAAGGCGCGGGTGCTCAAACTTTAAAAATGGGACGAAACCGTCGAAACGGAAAAACCAGGTCCACTTCGGAGCGGTTTTTCTCAAGACAGATTTATTTCCAAGTATTTGCCATAGCACTAGCATGTAGTAGAGGGATGAAAATTATATATTTCGCCCAGAATGGGTGCATGAGCCGTGCTCCAAAAGTTCCCTGTGAAGGCGCGGGTGCTCAAACTTTAAAAATGGGACGAAACCGTCGAAACGGAAAAACCAGGTCCACTTCGGAGCGGTTTTTCTTAAGACAGATTTATTTCCAAGTATCTGCCATGGAACTAGCATGTAGTAGAGGGATGAAAATTATATATTTCGCCCAGAATGGGTGCATGAGCCGTGCTCCAAAAGTTCCCTGTGAAGGCGCGGGTGCTCAAACTTTAAAAATGGGACGAAACCGTCGAAACGGAAAAACCAGGTCCACTTCGGAGCGGTTTTTCTCACGACAGATTTATTTCCAAGTATTTGCCATGGAACTAGCATGTAGTAGAGGGATGA